TGGTCAAGTCAGAAAAATTCCCAAAGAAAGGAAAGTAAATAAATAAAAGTCAATAACTGATGTGGATTCTGAAAGATTTTTTTTTTTTACAAGGATATTATTGAGTCACTCTTTTACTTAATGTCAGTAGGAATATTTTTAAATCTACAAATCCTTAGGGAACACAACAAAAGTCCCATTGACGTACTTCTTTGTTTTGGAGCTCCTGGGGCTGGGGAGTATGCATGCCAACAGCATGCTGTTAGAGTCTAAGTCATTTGTTTTCACATAGATAGTCATAACAATGCGAAAATATAACACTAGGATAATTATTGTGTGTTTTATACTCAACAAAATAAGTTTAGTATATTTAAATAGTTCAAAAACATTGTGATCTCTGGACAGCTCTTCTGGTCTCTTAAAGACAATGACAATTCAAAGATTGATTAATTTTAGCTGTGAGGAATCAATACAACCTGGGTGCACTACATCAAGGAATCACATAGCTATTTTCAGAAAGGTGGGATCTAGATTGTTTGGTCAAACTTGGTTACACCCAAAGAGAATTATATCTGATCAGTCAGTTGTTCTCAAGGGAAAAGTCAACAAATATTAAGAACTAATTACTACAGACTCCCCCCGCCCGCCACACTACCACCACCTGAAAGGCCTGGTAGCTATATCTCATGGCCTTTAGCATATATTCCAATCCCCAATTTCTATTCATTACTAATTTTTTTTCTTGAATTCATAGATTCACTTATCAGACCCTGTGCATTGTGCCTTGTGCAGACATTATGTGCAATGACTTTATGTGCATCTGCCACATTACCATTCACTTCAGAGACTCTATTGGGATGAGATGATTCCTAAACATTCCTGGATTATTGTGTACTCCAGGGAGTTGCCATAACATCCACAACATGCAGCAGTTTTATTGTGTATGGATGTCTGGAGATAAGCCTCCCACAATTGTGTATTCCAGGGAGTTGCCATAACACGCACCAATTTTATTGTGTATGGATGTCTGGAGATAAGCCTCCCACTACTCACCAATTCTTTATAGTAGAATTGGGGTGATTTCCTAAGATGATTCTCAGGCCATGGGGTGATTGAGGCTATCAACCCTTCTGTTACTCAAGTTATTGAGGTAAAACAACTTCCCCCCCTAAAATATTATAGAATATAGTGCTGTCACCAATATAACCAAAAGTAAAGCCAAACCAAAAATATCCCAGAAAAAAACACAAAACAGCATAAGCTGAAAATATTGGCTCTTATTAAAAGTAATGTGCAATCCAGTGTATTTCTAGGAAAGCAAGAATCTCGGCTAGTTCTGGAACTTGATACTTAAGGCTAAGGATCCCAACTGGAAAATGAGGTGCTAATGGGGTTCTTTGTCTGTTAGTTGGCTACGCAGCGCACTGTGACGTCATCCACCAAGAGCTCTTTGCTCCTTGCCACTTCTACATCAGCCCTGGGCTGTACTACCAGCTGTGCCGCCACGATGCCTGCAAGTGTGGAAGCACCTGCCTATGCAATGCTCTCGCCCACTATGCCTACCTCTGTGGCCAGCGTGGTGTCACCATTGATTTCAGAACTCACGTTTCGTTCTGTGGTGAGTATGGTGGCAACAGCACAGATAAAGACAATCAGGTAACACCTTAGAGATTTTTACATTGATAATTACTGCTTTCATTTTTTGAGTGGAGAGTTAACATTGCTTAAGTTATTTGAAATATTACAATGTACAAACATAAAAACAAAAGAAGTACTTTGTTTCTTAAAAATTGAAGATATGTTGGAGAAGATCAATAACTTTTGACTTTTTTGTTATAAGCAGAGTATAACTATGGTTTAAAAATATGGAACAGAAATAACTGGAAACACTTGACAAAAAGTCTTATAAAAATGTCATATCTAAATGTGGAAAAGCATTGTGTGTTATAGCGACACAGCTGATTTGTAGTTAAATAAGCAAGATCTGCAACAACCATGTATTATCTCAAGTTCCTGGGGCTCTAGTCCTCATGGTTATGGTGTCTGCTGTTCTCATTCCTGGTAGATTGCATCCTCTTCTGTATGTTTTATAATTTTTTATGAGCTAATCGTTGTTAGGGCTCTGCCTCTCCCTATTAGAATCCTCTGTGACCTGGATTTCAAGAGCATCACTTACTCTACTTCTCCACCCCCCTGTGGTTTCACACAGCTTTTTTCTATCACTCCAAAGGGCTTTTGGGCCAGTTTTTTTTTTTTTTAAGATAAAAACAAAACAAAAAAAACCCCTGATTTTGATTTTGAGAGAGAGAGGAAGGGAGAGGGAGAGAGAGAGAAGCATCTATGTGAGAGTGCAACATTGACCGGCTGTCTCCTGCATGCCCCCTACTGGGGATTGAACCGGAAACCGGGGCATGTGCCCTTGGCTGGGAATCGAAGCCCATCCATGTAAGTAAGCCCAACCAACTGAGCCACACCGGCCAGGGCTTATTAGCCAGTTTTGGTTATGTTCCTAGCTTGGGCTTTCTAAGAACAACAATGTAAATATGAAAGTAATGTAAGTTTATATAACAAACCTGTGCAGGATGTGTATCTGGGATTTTTATTTTTCAGAGGAGACTTTATTTCATCACAGACCCCAAGAATTACAGCTGCTTTCCTAACATCTTCCTTTATTAAGAGCCAATTTCAAGTTCAGAAGTTGGCAAACCACACCCTTGGTCCTCCTGTGTTTTTGTAAAGAGCTACAAGGCCACAGTTGAGTAGCTGTGACGGAGACTGTGTGTCCTGCAAAGTGGAAACTATTTACTGTCTGGCCCTTTACAGAAAGTGTGCTGGCCTCTACTATAGTGCATCCTTGCAAGTGAGGATGGTGGCTCAGTTGATGGAGTGTTGTCCTGTACACCAAGAGGTTGTGGGTTTGCTTCTCAGTGAGGGCACTTACCGAGGTTGGAACTGATTGTTTCTCACATTGATGTTTCTCTCTCTCTCCATCTCTCCCTCCCTTCACTCCTCCATTCCTCTCTCTCTCAAATTAATAACATATCCTCAGGGGAAGGTAAAACAAATTTTAAAATAGAAATTTCATTTTTCTCTTCTACTTCCATTGAGGCAAAGATTGTAACTAATAATTAATTTCTGTTACAGGATTCTGTAGTGTTCTGGGTTTGTTGATATCTGATATTTCTTTTTCGTGATTTACATCTATCATAGACCTGTAGTTCAGCACAGAACGCTTCTGTGCTCTGTGGAGATCTCTCTCTCAGCTGACGTGCTCTGTCCTCAGGGGTGGTGTGCCAGGAAGGCATGCTGTACCATCACTGCTCCTCCTTCTGCCGCCGCTCCTGTGTCTCTCTCGCCTCCCTTGAGCAGTGCAGTGACGACTGTGCTGAAGGCTGCAACTGTCCTGAGGGCAAATACTATGAAGACACACTTCACTTTTGTGTGCCCATGTAAGTCACAGAGATGGCTCATGGCATCCAGTTTTTCATCTCTTTTTTCTTTTACACCTGAAATGGGCTTTCATGCTTGTTTCTTTTCTTTCTTAATCTAACCGACTTAACACCATTTAATGGAAAAAATAATTTTCTCCACTATTGAACGGTCACTTTTTCCATGAAACAAGTGTGCATATGTGCAAAGATCTGCTTGTGAGTCATTTCTTTAATATTTCCTAATGTCTTTACCTTATTTACTTATGTTTAAACCTGCACTTGTTTACAAGTAGCTGTAGAAAGAGCCAAGGAATCTGATGGCTAACCCTGGAGTATATTTCTACTTGTTTTTATCATATCAAAGTTAATGACAAGGTTTATGTGTCACTGTCAGGTGGCTAATTTCAGTAGCAGCACTGCAATGTCTGTCAGCACTCAGAAGTTTCTCCAATCTCTTCTCCTGAGATAAGGACTTTTGTCTTATACTAGGGCTAAATGGCATGCCTAAGTCTTGTACTCATAGCTGCAGAAAAGAGGGGAATAGATGTATGGGTTATGTTTCTTTGAGGTGCATTTAGGGACTTTTTTTGTGACTAACACAACACAGTTTGTATTATGACTAAAACAATACAGATTTTTTATTTTATTTTAGAAAACAAAATCTGAAGCTACACAAGACTTCACATTTAAATGGTTTCTGCCATTTGTATGGCTGAATTGCATGTAGTCTCATAGAATGAAGCCATCTTTAGAGTGTGCCTTAAAATGACCAATACAGTGCATGGGGTCTACTTGAATTTTACTGTTTTCTAAAATGTATATGCATATAACCTTTTTTTTTTTATTAATTTAACCTTTTTTTCTCTTACAGATTTCACTGTCGGTGTCATTATAGGGGGAGCGTTTATCAACCTGGAGAGCTTATCCCAACACCCTCCGGCTTATGGTAGATTTCAATGATGGTGATTGTACTTGATAAATAACACATGCTGATGTAATTTCTTAATACAAACCATAAATTGAAATATGACTTCTGTAACATAAAAATGCAGATAACCCTAACATAACCCTTAAAACCAAATAGCTATCTATTCCATTGCAACATGGGATGCCTGAGTCTCGTGGTCATAACTGCAGAAAAGGGTGGCATTGAAGTGTCACACAGCAGAATGGAAGCCTTCAGATCAGTTTGGTTTTTTATATGGAAGTTAGGAGTGAGGTGGGTGTTCAAACAATGCAAGGTCTTGGCCGGGGGGTAGGTGGGGTGGGTGGGGGGTTCATTTTGTGTTTTATCCAATGGCTTAAAAAAGGCAATTTTAACATGGATTGAACCAGGTCACATGCTGGAGTCAGTGTACTGCCTCCTTAGGAACATTGATCTTAAGGTGAGATAATACTCATTGCTAGGATAACCCTCACTCAGGCTGGAACCTGGCTGTTACAAATGCAGACACATCCATGCATCAATTTAAATTGATCTACATCCAACTCTTGACCTTCCTTTTTCAGTTCCATCTTAGGTGCCAACAGACGATAACAGACCATAGGCAATAGTAAAAAGAATGATATCTCATCATTACTATGTACCTTCTGTAGTCCTGGCAGCATTCTAAGTGTTCTGTATCTATTATTAAAACACTCATCACTGTGACCTTAAAAGATAAATACTGCTGCTGTGTCCCCAGTTTACAGGTGATAAAAGGAGGCACAGGCAGGTAAGCAACTTGGGAACGAAGCCAAGATTCAAGCCCAGGCAATGTGGCTCTGTGGTGATTTTTTTCTGTTGCCTGCTTTGCTCAGCAGCTTATTTCCTATTCATGGCAGTATCCTGTTTATGCTCAATTAACCTTTACTGTTATCTCCATCTTTCTTCCTCCCACCCCTCAATCAAGATACAAAGGCAACCAGTTCTTAAATCTCTCTCTAGTAGGTTGTACTAGTAGCCACAGTTTCCCAGGCCAGAAATCTGGGAGTCATGTTTTGACTCCTACCTTCTGCTCAATATCCCTAGCCAATAAACCCCTAATGACTGTGGAATTTACTTTCTGCAAATAGGAGAAATCCCCCTCTTTTCCATCGTCACTGCCTTAACAACGTCTCTTCCTGGTCTTCTTGCCTCTAGTCTTGTCCCCTTCATTTTGCCAAGGTGGTATGTCTCTCTTGAATTTAACGTAATTGAATTTACTTTAGTAAATTGGCAAAAAAAAATGAAGGAATCATTTGTCCTCGATGAGAAAAGAAAATCCCATTGTAGTGCAGTGACCTCATTTGCCTTTCCTCTCAAAAACGTCCCAGAGTGAGTGTGATATGGAAAAGCTGGCTCTGTGACCTGACATCTGTCTGTCTCAGTTCCTCTCTGCCATTCACAATGTGCGCGACTCACACCTCTGAGTGTCTTCCTAGTGTTAGATGACATATAAGCATATTTTTCATGTGGCATGGCCCCTATATATTAGTCAGCTTCTTCTTGCGGGCTCAAACATAGGACACATGATCTGTCCAAAGCTGGAGGAAACACTGTTAATGTCGGAGTAACTGAGAACTGATGTGTTGTTCCCTATCATGATAGCTTTTTAAAGGAGCTTCAGAATTAATTTGGCCTGTATTGGGTTTTCATCTTATGCCCTGACTTTAGAACTTAAGTTGCAAGGAAGCTGTAACTTCATTCTGTGGTCAGTGCTACTGCCAGAATGATTTTCCTAGAATTCAGACCAACAATATCACTTCTCTGCTTTAGGTCAATGGTCTACCTCAGGGACAAAGTCTGAGTGTCTGAATAATAGCTGGCCTTTGCCTCTTTGTCATCTGCATCTTCTACCACTTTATTACATAGAACACTGCTCTACCCCTGTGCGGCTTCCTACCACATTCCAACTGAGTATTATGGCCTTCCTACTTGAGTAAAGATTATGAATTTTGGTCTTTGTATCTTCCATGCCTATCACAGTGACTTATATCTGTGTTTGATAAAAATGTTAATTGAAATAACTCTCTTCAAATTGGCCAATAACTTATTTGTAGAAAATTTTCAATGGGAAAGAATAACATTTGTATATATATTCAATCCATTCTTACCCATTATATTGTTTGTGAAATACAGAAAACAAACGAACAGATTTGGATTTGTAACATTTGTTTACTTTTACTAGCCAATGTTCAAATGGGACTGTGAAATGTGATGAGCCAGCACCGCCCTCTACTGGTAAGATCTAGATAATGTATTTTCCCTGAGGAGAATGGGGCTCTAGGACTGCCCCAACTTTTCTGGCAGAAGTCTTTGACCCATCACGCCCCTCCTTGGCATGAACATAGCCTTGAGGATGTTTCTCAACATGGTGCTCCAGCTTCCTAACTTTTCACACTAGAAATTATAATATGAGTAGGACAGTCTGGGTTGAACATATAAGGTTTAGGGGCAGAGGTCATCAACCCAGGGATTCTGTCTACCCCAGAACTAACCCAGGGGCCCAAAAGGATTTAGGGATATGTGTCCTGGCACCTGTTGTAACCTACTTGTGCAACAGAAGCTGGGAAATGACTGTAGACCAGCATTTCTCAGATACTAATGTGCACACAATTACCCCGGGATCTTGTTAAAGTGCCGATTCTGATTCAGCAGGTCAGGGGTGATGCCTGAGATTCTACCTTTCTGGGAAAGGTCGAGGTCATGCCACAGGCTCCTGGGCTACATTATAATTAGCAAGGCTATA